CTCCCCACCCTCACAGCCCAGAATTTCTCCCTCCCATCTCAGCTCCAGCTCCCTCTGCCAGCTGGAAACCCTTCCCCCTGCTCCCATCCCTCCCTGCCCTTGTCCCAAGCCCCTCCCCAGCTTTCCTGGAGCCCCTTCAGGCCCTGGAAGCTGCTCTCAGGTCTCCCTGGAGCCTTCTCTTCTCCAGGCTGAACACCCCAACGCTCCCAGCCTGGCTCCAGAGCAGGGCTCCTCCAGCCTTTGGATCATCTCCATGGCCCAGCTGGAAGCTCATATTCCGTAATTTTAAGATTAAACCTGGTTATTTTTTTAAAATGATGCATAATCAAATATTTGGTAGAGCTGGCGTCACCTGTAAGAACCTGAAGAAGTTGAGCTACAGTTCTCCCAGCCACATGGTGCATCTTCCATGGCTTTACAGATCCTTCTCATGGCTGGGGGGGCCTCAAGTAGCTGCCCTGGGTTCTGACCCCTTGGGAATGGCCTTTGATCCGGGGTGGCTGAGGGAACTGGCTGCATTCTGGGGGCTTGAAAGGCATTCCCAGAGGTGCTGCTAGTCCAGCGTGGCATCCTGGCTGCTGCTTTCCTGAGGGCTGCAGTTCTTGCACTAACAAGTTGGAGACAGGTTTGAATGTCTGAGGTTGAAGGAGAAAATCAGCCTGTGCTGGGAAGGGCTTCACACTGGGTAGGTGGAAGGTGAAGGAAACAGTGAAGCATCAAGTGGATTCTTCATGTACAATTTTTGACAGGAGAATTCCAGTCACACAATTGTATGAATAGCATCAATTTCCTCACAGCATCCTTCCCTCAGGGGGGCTGCGTGTTCAGTTTTCAGTTCCTCTGGCTGTTGCTGTCACTGTGTGCTGATGGTTGGGGGGAGCTTCATATTTTTGCAGAAGAAAAGTCTCTTCTGCTGTTTCTCAGCCCTTCTGTGGGATCTGAGGGACCTGTGTCTGCTGCTGCTGTCAGCCTTGTCTTGAGTGTTGGGTTGATTTTACTGTGACAGAAATGATTTCTTTAGATTTGGCACAATTTCACTTTTTCTCCCCTCCCCCAGTTTTTCCAAACCATTTAAATAATTGAATTGAATTTTATACAGAAATGCACTCTTGCATCTGTTGAAATCTGGTATGTACTGTTTCAATGAATATGGGATTGAAATTGATATCTGTGAAATTTTATATCAATATATATAAAAAATAGAATCCTCTTCACTATGAGGGTGGGGAGAGCCTGGCCCAGGTTGCCCAGGGAAGCTGTGGCTGCCCCATCCCTGGCAGTGTTGAAGGGCAGGTTGGATGGGGCTTGGAGCAGCCTGGGCTGCTGGGAGGTGTCCCTGCCCATGCAGGGGGTTGGAACTAGATGATCTTTAAGGTTCCTTCCAACTCAAACCATTCTATGATTTCAATATATCCAGAGTTGAATATTTAAATTATTAGTCACTTGCCAAGTTGTAGATAATTAATGCAGAACTTGCACCAAACCTCTGTGTCACGAAGGCCACATGGTGGGATTTTGTGACAGGGCTTTTGAGTTAGAACTTTGGTGTCATGCTCTGGTAACTACTAAGTTGGTTATAGGGGTTTGTGATGTATTTGGTATTTCTGTGCACAGAGGTGATGTGTTGTGCTTAGGTAAAATGGCAGCTGTTGATTACAGAACCACAGAATATTAGGGGTTGGAAGGGACCTCTGAAGATCATCCAGTCCAACCCCCCTGCCAGGGCAGGACCAGAACTAGGGCAGGTCACTCAGAAAGGCATCCAGACAGGTCTGGAAAGTCTCCAGAGAAGGAGACTCCACAGCCTCTCTGGGCAGCCTGTCCCAGGGCTCTGCCACCCTCACAGCAAAGAAGTTCTTCCTCATGTTGAGGTGGAACTTCCAGTTTGAATCCATTGCCCCTCGTCCTGTCACAAGGCACTGCTGACAAGAGCTTGTCCCTGCCTTCTTGATGCCCCCATGTGTTGATAGACATTAATTAGATCCCCCCTCAGCCTTCTCCTCTCTAGACTGAAAAGGCCAGGTCTCCCATCCTTCCCTCATCAGGCAGTTCTTACTAAGCAAATGCCTGTGTAGCTGAGATGTTGGGTGTCTTGGTCCTGTCATCTGGAGTGTGGCACAGTGACCAAGGAATGCTCTGGCTGGTAGAAGCCATATATCCTTGCAGTTACTACATCCCTTTCTTGACATAAATGACATCTCATCGAACATGTTCATTTCTTCAAACCTGACCTCACTGTTCTGCTGTGGCCACATTGTACAACTGGAAGGAAATCATTCAATAGAATATCATCCTGGTGCTCTGTGATGCCATCTCATGGAAATAAAGCCTTGTCAGTCAACAATGAGGTGTCCACCTGGCACTCTCCAGGCTAATCATTATCACTGAATATGTGTTAAAAGAAATTCCATGACCATCTTACAAATGTAAAGGTGAGTGTTATTAAATCATGTACAAAAGTAGACGTTGATTTTCTTAATTTTCCCAAATTCTTTCCCTTGTACAGGCTCTTGATGGAAATGTATATGATCACCTTAAGGATTATTTAATGGCATTCAGCAACAGACATGCCAAGCTGTACAAAACACATTCCAGTTTTTACTGGAGACTTCCAGCAGGGTAAGTTTTTACTGAATGATCCTTTGTAACTGAATACTTGGAGCATGTAGAAGTTGCCAGGCTTAAGGTTTGCTTCCAAAATAATGATGAAACTCAACAGTTGTTAGTTTTGGTTACTCCTGAGTCTTACTAAGGTAAAAGAAACTAGACAGTTTTCTTGGGGAGAATTTTTCTTGCTACCAGCCAGGTTGCATTCTCCTGGGTGTGTTTCCACAGGACACAGATCTTTTAGAGAACAACAATCAGATGTTCAGATCATCCTCACTCTGAATTTCTGGTTGGAAAGAGAAATTGCAGCTGGGTTCTTCACTGGGTGATCTGGAACCACAGTAGTCATCCAGCACAGTAAAGCCCTGTGAAACTGTTTGGATCATTTTGTTATAATTGGCTGTCAACTTAAAAACCAAAATATTACAGTGTTTTCTCCTTTGAATTAAGAATGGCAGGTACAGAAGAGAGATGAGAGTCTTGTCACAGCCCTGGTGTGCTTGCTTTGTCAGACAGCCAGGATCAGGGACACCTGATGGTTGCCAGGATCATTTTGAATACTTAAATAATTCATCTGCAGGGCTAAAAAAAAAACCCAAAAAAGAATAATTGCTGTTGAGCTCAAACATAGAATCATCAAGGTTGGAAAAGACCTTCAAAATCATTAAGTCCAACCATCTGCCCTACACCCCCGTGACCACTGAACCATCTCCCTCACCACCACGTCCACTTGTTTTTTTGAACCCCTCCAGGGATGGTGCCTCCACCACCTCCCTGGGCAGCCTCACCACTCTTTCAGTGAAGAATTTTTTCCTCATATCCAGCCTGAACCTCCCCTGGCACAACTTGACCCCATTTCCTCTTGTCCTGTCACTGGTCACCAGGGAGAAGAGGCCAAAACTCACCTCACTGCAACCTCCTTTAGGTAGCTGCAGAGAGCAATGAGGTCTCCCCTCAGTCTCCTCTTCTCCAGGCTGAACAGCCCCAGATCCCTCAGCATCTCCTCAGACCTGTTCTCCAGACCCCTCATCAGCCTCATTGCCCTTCTCTGCACCCTCTCCAGCACCTCCATGTCCTTCCTATCCTGCTGTGCCCAGAACTGCACCCAGGGCTCAAGGTGCAGCCTCACCAAGGCTGAGGAAAGGGGCAGGATCACTTCCCTGGTCCTGCTGGTCACACTATTCCTGATGCAGGCCAGGATGGTGTTGGCCTTCTTGGCCACCTGGGTACACTGCTGGCTCGTGTTCATCTGGCTGTCAATCAGCACCCCCAGGTCCCTCTCTGCTGGGCACTTTCCAGCCACTCCTCCCCAAGCCTGTAGCTCTGCTGGGGGTTGTTGTGGCCAAAGTGCAGGACCTGACACTTGGCCTTGTTGAAACTCAGGCAAGTGACTCTGGCCCGTGGATCCAGCCTGTCCAGGTCCCTCTGCAGAGCCTCCCTGCCCTCCAGCAGATCAGCATTCTCACCCAGCTTAGTGTCATCTGCAAACTGACTGAGGGTGCCCTCTGTCCCCAAGTCATCAATATCCGAGTCATCAATAATGATGTTAAACAGGAGTGGCCCCAGCACTGAGCCCTGGGGACACCACTCGTGACCAGCCCCAACTGGATTGAACTCCACTGGATGCAGCTCTTTGGACCTGGCTGTCCAAGCAGTATTTTATCAAGCAGAGTGTGTGCACATCCAAGCCATGAGCAGCAGCTTCTCCAGGACACTGCTGTGGGAAACCTGCTCAAAGGCCTTGCAAAAGCCAAGGTAGATGACATCCACAGGGCTTCCCTTGCCAAACGAGCTGCTTTGGTGCAGTCAGAATATTCATTTACACATATGCCTTAAACACCAGTGCAGAAACAGGCTCATTTGTGCAGGTCATGATGCAGAACCAGCATTATTTAATACACCTGATTCACCTGCAAGCATGTTCCCTGGCACCTGAACTGTTAGAAAGTGAGTGGATTAAAACTTGTCTTTGCACTGGCTTGTCTTTGAATTTACTTGCCAGCAACTGTAAAGACATTAAAAATGCCATTTTATCTTCTGTTGGAGAAGGACTTTCAGAAATTCACCTTGGTCTGGATCATTCCCATCAGCTTAAAGTATCTTCCCCAGAAACGATGGTGTTGAATCTTTTAACTAAATGTGCTTGTGTAAAACATCTACATATTCATAAATAATCTCTCAATGTTGCATTCAGGGCTTTGTGATCAGAATTTTTGGAGTCTTGCCTGGCTGGGGCTTTCATCTAACTCAGCTGTCATTTCCAAACAGCTCATTTGCATAGGAATTCCTTCAGTGAGCCTGTGACAGCTTGTGTTGGCAAACCTCTGTGAGGTCAGAACCTGCAGCTCTGCCTTATTTTACACAGGAACAAGGTCCTGTTGGAGGGAAATAGTTCTGTGCTTTACTGACTTGGTACAATGCCTGGAGAAGGAGCAGAAATGTAAATGCAGCTGTCAGGTCTGGACAGGAGTTTTACAACTGGTTTGTAGCTCACAGGCACCAGTGTTCCTGCAGTTCAAGAATGCAGAGAAGATGAAATTGTGTTGCAGAATCACAGAATGGTGAAGGTTGGAAGGGATCTTAAAGACCATCAGGTTCCAACTCCCCTGCCATAAGCAGGGACACCTCCCACCAGCCCAGGCTGCACAAGCCTCATCCAACCTGCCCTTCAACACCTCCAGGGATGGGGCAGCCACAACCTCCCTGGGCAACCTGTTCCAGTGCCTTCCTACCCTCATGGGGAAGAATTTCTCCCTGATGTCTGACCTCAATCTCCCCTCTTGCAGTTTAAACCCATCACCCCTTGTCCTGTCACTGCCCTCTCTGGTGAAAAGCCCCTCCCCAGCTTTCATGTAGGCTTCCCATCTGGAGTGTTGTGTCCAGTTCTGGGCTCCCCAGTTCAAGAGGGACAGGGATATTCTGGAAAGAGCCTAGTGAGGGCTACAAGGAGGATCAAGGGTGTGGAACATCTGTTCTAGGAGTAGAAAGGCTGAGAGACCTGGGGCTGGTTAGTCTTGAGAAGAGAAGACTGAGAGGGGACCTTATAAAAGTCTAAATATCTGAAGAGTGAGTGTCAGGAATGGGCCAGTCTCTTTTCAGTGGTGCCTGTGACAGGACAAGGGGCAATGGACACAAACTGGAACACAAGAAATGCCACCTCAACATGAGAAAAAACTTATTTCCTGTGAGGGTGACAGAGCCCTGGGACAGGCTGCCCAGAGAGGCTGTGGAGTCTCCTTCTCTAGAGGCTTTCAAGACTCACCTGGACGTGTTCTGTGGGATCTGCTCCAGAGGATCCTGCTCTAGCAGGGGGGTTGGACTTGATGATCTTCAGAGGTCCCTTCCAACCCCTGTGATTCTATGATTCCATTACTCCTGAAATGTATGTCTTGCTCAGAAATAGTAAGCACAAGAATCAGTGGCTCATCCCATGGACACAGGCTTCACTCCTCCTGTCTTTTGAATGTTGCAGGAATCAGCTCTCAAATGAGAGGGAAATCTGGAGCAGAAACTCCATCAAAAGCTGTGCATGTGTTTCAAAAGTAGCTTGAGTGTTGAACATACAACAAATTTGTAAGCAATTTGGTAATTTGGAATAAAACTCAACATACCACCAAAGCCAAGAATTTGAATATGTATTTTTTTTAATACTTCTCCTGTTCTTTGTTATTTCTTAGCACAAAATCACAAGCCTGCCAGGCTCCATTTAGAAAAGGCACTTTAGAGCATTGGTAGAAAAGCTTTTGTTTTTCCCCTCTGCACTATATTTCTGCTGACAGGGTGGAATTAAATGATATTTGCTTTAGAAAGAGACAAGTTGCTTCCCAAAAGTGCCTCCTTCCCTCTGGAATGTCAGGCAGCCTGAGGTGGCTGCTTGAGCTGTGCTGGATTCAGCTGCTTAGGAGATTGTCAGTCACCTAATGCTGCTGCAGATTGAGGGGAAACTTCTCCAAAACCAAGTTTTTTGTAGAAAACCCAGTGTTTTTTGATATAATCATTTGTTGCAGCTTTGGAGGCTTTTATGACTGCAGGGTTGGGGTCACCCCTGTCATTGCTCTGGCAGGTCCAGGGAATCTAACCCCCTGACACTGAGCATATGAAAATGCAACTTAACTTCCTTTTCACTTGAACAGTCTTCTGACTGTTCTGACTTCTGACTATTCAAGACTTCTTGCCCTTCTCTTTTGGAAAAGAAATCTGATTTTCTTTGGAACATTTTCTGAAATTCCACTTGCTGTTTTGAATAACATGTCTGTGATGTTTCTGGGAAGAAACTTCCCCAACCCAGGGCAAATAATGTCATGTATGCACATCCCTGACTATGCCTTTTTTTCTGCATAGAGTAGATATTTAAAATCTGATTTCAAGTCTATTTTAACATGTCAGTTGACACTGACTTTGCAAAAACACTGCGTGAGAGCATTGACTTCATTCCTGAATAACAGGAAATCCATTTGGAAAAGCTGCTTAATCCAGAGAATTCAGTGTTGCTGAGGAGTCTTGTTATTTTCTTTCTAACAATTGTCAAATAGATTGTGCAAAACGCTCGGGGGGATTAATTTGCTGGAGTTGCACACTCCCAAGTTTCACATTAGGATAAGAGTTGATCTCATTTGTAACTAAATATTTGTGCTTTGAGGGAAAATGTTTTACAAGTGCTGCTGTGAGGGTGGATTTTCTTTGAAAAGCTGAGTTGCTTTTGAGTTTAGAGGTCTGCAATGAAAGGTGATTGCATTTAAGTAACTGTGCAGGTTGTCGTGCTCTCAGTAACTACACTTTGGGGTTCTTTTCTACTTGATTTAAAAGTTTCATGTGTTTGACATGGCCCAGAGTTGTCTGCTACAGTCAGTTCTAAAGGACTGCAGGATCACAGACTCATGGAATGGTTTGGGTTGGAAGGGACCTTCAAGATCATCCAGTCCCAACCCCCTGCATGGGCAGGGACACCTCCCAGCAGCCCAGGCTGCTCCAAGCCCCATCCAACCTGCCCTTCAACACTGCCAGGGATGGGACACTCCCAAGTTTCACATTAGGATAAGAGTTGATCTCATTTGTAACTAAATATTTGTGCTTTGAGGGAAAATGTTTTACAAGTGCTGCTGTGAGGGTGGATTTTCTTTGAAAAGCTGAGTTGCTTTTGAGTTTAGAGGTCTGCAATGAAAGGTGATTGCATTTAAGTAACTGTGCAGGTTGTCGTGCTCTCAGTAACTACACTTTGGGGTTCTTTTCTACTTGATTTAAAAGTTTCATGTGTTTGACATGGCCCAGAGTTGTCTGCTACAGTCAGTTCTAAAGGACTGCAGGATCACAGACTCATGGAATGGTTTGGGTTGGAAGGGACCTTCAAGATCATCCAGTCCCAACCCCCTGCATGGGCAGGGACACCTCCCAGCAGCCCAGGCTGCTCCAAGCCCCATCCAACCTGCCCTTCAACACTGCCAGGGATGGGGCAGCCACAGCTTCTCTGGGCAACCTGGGCCAGGCTCTCCCCACCCTCACAATGAAGAATTTCCTCCTAATATCCAACCTAAATCTCCCCTCTTCCAGCTTAAGACCATTCCCCCTTGTCCTCTCCCTACCCCTTCTGGTGAAATGTCTCTTTCTCTGTGAAGACCAGAGGTGCTTAACAGACATGATCTCAACACCATGAGCATCATCTGAAGCTGCAGGTGATTCCTCCTTTAGTATTTTCCATACATCTGTTTGTGGGATTTCCAAGGACAGAGACTCCCTCTGTGCCTTCTCTGGATGTTTGCTCCACATTTCAATGTGTTTATGTTCAACTGCTCCAACTGGTGCAGTAATTATGTGCTTGACTGTTTTAAATGAGGGCTTTATTGCTCCTGGAGGACTTATTTACTTTCCTTAACTGAAGATTAATTTTTTCCAGCTCAGTGTTTGGGTAACACAAGCAGCAACATTTTGATGCCTTCGAGAACATGTTGTATTTACCATTGTACACACAGTGTAATCAGAATTCTCAGTCAGATGCAATGCTGCTATTTCTGGATAAATATCCTTTTATTATACACTTCTGCACATTTAAACCCTCAGTTTAGTAGTAGTTTTTTATAATTTCATGCTGCTATTCATGGATTTTCATCCCTTGAAGCTGTGAATACTCTCTGGAGTTCTTCAACCAGTGAGACTATTTTTTTTTCATGTTGCAATCCATGAGGTTTTCATTTTAAATGTATGTGAATCCTGATGGAAGAGGTTTGTGTAGGGATGCAAATGGTATCTGAAATGTAGAGTAGCTGAAATAGTTTTGGTTCAGCAAAATCCGAGCTAGGAGAGTTTTCTCTGAAGGCAATTTAATCAAAAGAGATTCATTTTGCAACTGGGTTTGGATGTGTTTTCCCAAATAGTCTTTTGAGCTCCTGCAACTAATAATTGGTGTAAAAATAAGACATTTTGCCTTAAGAAAGAACTGTCCACCAGAAGTTATCCATGAGGCAAGAAAGAAATCTCTGCTGTTGATGCCACACACTGTCAGGTGGCTTTTTTCTCCCCCATTTTGCCCATGTAGGATTTTTTGTAGGTGAATTGCAGGTATTTTTTGGATCTTTGTTACCCAGTGGGTCCCCTGCCCATCACGTCTGAGTAACTGGAAGGAAGTTGAATCAGGGGGGGTTTAGGTTGGATATCAGGAGAAGGTTTTTCCCCCAGAGGGTGGTTGAGCACTGGAACAAGCTCCCCAGGGCAGTAGTCACAGCACCAAGGCTGCCTGAGTTCCAGAAGCCTTTGGATGATGCTCTCAGGCCCATGGGGTGATTCTTGGGGTGCCCTCCACAGGGACAGGAGTTGGACTTGATGGTCCTGATGGGTCCCTTCCAACCCAGCACATTCTATGACTCTGTGACTCTATGAACTTGGGTTGTCCAGCCCAGAAGCAGGTCCTGTTTCCTGTTGTCACTTTCAAGGTTCTGTCTCTGTCCTGATTTTACTGCAGCATGTTTGTAAGTTTACAAAACAAGGGATCTAAACAGCATTTGTTGTTTTTTTCAGGTGGTGAGGGATTACAACCTCCAGCTGTTTTTGCAGGAGAACTCGGTGTTTCACAAACCACAGCCTTTCCAGTTCCAGCCCAGCGACAGTGACACTGTAAGAGCCCTGCTGAATCCCTTGGTTTATTTGCTCTTGCTCTGTTTTTAAGCATGTTGTTATCACTGGGCAAGAGAGCAGTGCTCTCTGGTAGCCCAGTCTGGTTTTAACTCATGCAATATATTTGGAAAAGAAAGGGAAAGTAGCCTGATGCCACCAGCTCTCCTTGCAGTGGGTGGGTGATCATGACAAAAGCATCCAACAGGCTCAGCATCATTCCCAGAAGAGCCAAATCTTGATTTTTTTTTGCTCCCAGATTGTAACTTGCAGTGCTGTGTTTCTCTGTTTTCAGCAGAATTTTTACTACCCTTTGGTAGCTTTTTATTGTGCTGAATATATATTCACTTAATATTCACTTAATACTGGGCTGCACCATGTGTGATATGATGCCAAGTAGTCCATGTACCTCTGAATTACTCAGTGAGTAGTTACACGTGTATATAAGAAGTTATTGATTTAGAAAGAATAATGTTCAAACATTGCATTCCAAAAGAATCTTGGAAAATATTATTTTGGTGCATATGTTGCTTCCAAAGAAATCATTGATGGCATTAAGATGGAGTAAATCATAGTGTATAACTACATTTCCAAGCAGCACTTTAATGAAGGTGGGTTGCTGATGTCCCACCAACATTCCTAACACTATTTGAAGAACAGTTGAAAAGAAGTTGAAATCTTTAAGAAAGTTTTGTTTGTGGGGCTTTTACTTGAATTCAAAGTAAACTGACTTGGGCAGAAATGTCCTGGTCTCCAGTTCAGGTGATTGAATTGAAGAACCTTGTTAATAGCTACCTAAGAGTGATTTTTCCAGACATACTAACACCTATAACACAGTCTCCTTTGTCTTTCCATTTTAACAAACTGTGATTTTGATTTGTTGGTTGTTGTTTTTTTCCCTTCCAGCTCCTTTGTATGTTACTCCCATAACGTTTTTGCTTGTTCTTAATCCAGCCAGCAGAATCTCTCTTGTCTTTGCCCTCTGTTCTAACCTTTGCTGCCGTGTGTTTTCATCCTTGTGCACTCTCTGCATCTAGAGTTTTCACACAGCTCAGCTGGTGGATATTGAGCCCTCACCTGTCAGTGCCATGAGAATGACTATAGCAGAGGTATATGGTTGGATTTACACTTGTGTCCTTGTCTGTGTGCATGTGGCTGCTCAGTTTGCACTGCTCTCTAGAGGTGGCAACAGAATGCTCAATCCATGTGGCTTTTCACCATGAGGTTGGAGCTCAAGAAGGAAGAAGGACCTTTCACAGGCTCATTTGTGAGGATCAGCTTCACACTTTTTGCACTTGCACAGGGTTTGGGAGTGATGCTCTCACCTTTTGGGGGTGTGAATTATAGTGATGTGTGGAATTGGCTACTTCTCTGATGTGAAGGGGGAAGCTTGTGTAACAATAATTAGCATGCACTGGTGAAATGCTGCCCCATTGCTAATTTCATTTTAGCCTTTTTCCAGGGGGCTATCCCTGTGTAAAAGAGGACTGTACTTCACTCTTGTTAAACTCTTCAACATTAAAAAATGACCTGATTTGTTGACGTGGCACGTGGGTGTTCTGATGGTGGACACGGGCCCTGCTCAACTTCAGGACCTTTTTAGAAGGCAACGAGTGGGTTGTTCATGTCTACAGCTGTCTCAGTACCTCAGTCTTTACTTGCACAACCCACTTGGGCTGTAGAATTGCTGCATTTCTTCCTGGCACTGCATTTTGTTGAGCTTCTGGCTGCTTATGCTGTAACCAGTGTTCACAAAACTGAATCAGTTATCCAGGCCTCTTAATGATCTGTATCATTCTGCCTGGGCAATTGCAGGTCACCTGATCTGATTTTTAATCAAGAAGTCCAAGAAAAAGAGGACTTCTGCTCAGGCTTTTCAATTTGTCAGAAATGGGATGTTTGCTAATGAATCAAACAACATTTAATTGAAGAACAATTATCAAACATTCTTTTGCCACATATGCTCTTTGTAGATGATCTGCAGAGATTATCTTTTAGGTTTTTGTGGATTGTGCATGATAATTTTCACATCAAAGGCTACCAGTGAAAGAAATAGGAGTGATTAAGACTTCTCATCACATGTTTAATATTAATCTTTTCCAAGAACAGATTCTGTCCTGTCTTCAAACTAAATACCTGTGACTAGGGTGAAAGACTGGAGCACTGAAGGATCACTGGGAGGAAATGTTGAGTGTTGTAGAAGAAGAATGTTCTAAACAACAGGGAGGTGGAACTCACCTACATGAAACACTCTGAATGCTTTTTAAAATTGTGGTTTGACATGGTCCATCTTAAATTTTTGTTTTCTGAGGGGAGAGCTGATGCCAGAGAGTTTCACAGAATGGATTGCCATGCAATCCTGGAGTCAGGTAGAAAAGCCAGAGCTCAAAATACTCTCAGTATGCCCTATCAGAACCTCCAAAAGAGACTGTTCCTAAAAAAGGTTGGTTTGAAATGGCTTTTCCATCAGTTTTCTATATTTTTGTTTGCCCAACATCACACTAATACAGACTGAAATGTAGACTCTTGAGTGTCCACAAAGAGAAGCCCACCACAAAATGCCAGTTACATCCATCAGCTATTTTCCATTGTTTAAAATACGGTTCATAGAATCATGGAACAGAATCCTAAAATGTCTTGGCTTGGCAGGGTCCTCCAGAGGTCCTCTAGTCCAACCCCCCTACAATAAGCAGGGACATCTCAAACTTTACCAGATTGCCTAGAGCCCCATCAAGTTTGACCTTGAATGTCTCCAGGGATGGGGCCTCCACCACCTCTTTAGGCAACCTGTTCCAATGATCCCCCAGCCTCATAGTAAAGGACTTTTTCCTCATGTCCAACCTCAATCTCCCCTTTTCTAACTTGAAACCATCACCCCTTGTCCTATCCTTACATGCCCTTGTGAACAGCTCCTCCCCAGCCTTCTCATAGGCCCCTTTCAGGTATTGGAAGATGCTCTGAGGTTCCCCCAAAGTCTTCTCCAGGCTGAACAACCTCAACTCCCTCAGCCTGTCCTCATAAGAGAGCTGCTCCATCTCTCAGGTTATTTTCATTGCTCTTCTCTGGACACTCCAACAGGTCCACTTCTTTCTTGTGCTGGGGGCACCAGAGCTGGACACAATACTCCAGGTGAAGTTTCACCAGGGCAGAGTTGTTTTGAGCTTAACTTTACACACTTGTTAATAAAATTACTTAGATTATTTCACCTCCCTGGCCCTGCTGGCCACACTTCTTGTGATGCAGCCCAGGATGTGTTTGGCTTCTGGGCTTCAAGTGCACATTGTTTGTCCACCTCCAGCTTTTCATCCACCAGAACCCCCAGGTCCCTTTCAGCAGGGCTGCTCTTGGTCCCATCATCCCCCATCCTGTTATGATAACAAGGACTGTCCTGACCCAGGAGCAGGACCCTGCACTTGGGCTTGTTGTATCTCATGAGGTTCACCTGGGCCCACTTCTCCAGCTTCTCCAGGTCCCTCTGGATGACATCCCATCCCTCTGGCATGTCCACCACACCAGTCAGCTTGGTATCATCAGCAAACTTGCTGAGGGTGCCCTTGATCCCACTGTCTACATCCTTGATGTAGATGTTAAACAGAACTGGTCCCTCTTCTGCATCCAAGTAACAGGGGGTGACACTGCAAAACTTTCCCCCAGTCCTACTGAGGTGTTGTTTTGCTGCCATTTCAGGGAAAAATATCTATTTTTTCATGTTGACAAGGGGTCATACAGATCAGATTTGGTCGCATTTCTTCCTTGTGTGCTCAAAGCAAATGACAGCATCAGAAAAGTACAGGGGAAGCTGCAGTCACAGGAGACATGTAGATAAAAAAAACAGGAAAAAAATCCTCCAAACTTCAGTGTCAGCTTTTTGTTGCCATTATCCTCCCACACTGTGGACATGTTTTTTTTGTCAGCTGGCTCGTTTTCTCACCTGATAGCAGGCAGTTCAAGGAAAAAGAACCATTTCCAAACAGGAAACAGAGAAAAGCTGGGTAATTTCCTTCATATTTTGCCCTGTCCTTATAGCTGAGGTTTATCTGTGAGCATGGAGACAGTTTGCTTTCAACAGGAAAGGCATGGAGCTGTTGGAGAGAGGCCAGAGGAGGTCACAGAGATGCTGGGAGGGCTGGAGCAGCTCTGCTCTGGAGCCAGGCTGGGAGAGTTGGGGTGTTCAGCCTGGAGAAGAGAAGGCTCCAGGGAGTCCTGGGAGCAGCTTCCAGTGCCTGAAGGGGCTCCAGGAAAGCTGGGGAGGGGCTTGGGACAAGGGCAGGGAGGGATGGGATGTGGGGCAATGGCCTTAAACTAGAGCAGGGGAGATTCATGTTGGATTCTTTACACTGAGGGTGGTGAAGCTCTGGAACAGGCTGCCCAGAGAGGTGCTGGATGTCCCATCCCTGGAGACATTCAAGGTCAGGCTTGATGGGGCTCTGAGCCATCTGATCTAGTCAAAAAGGTCCCTGTGCACTGCAGGGGGGCTGGGCTAGATGAGCTTTAAAGTTCTCTTCCAACCTCAAGCATTCTGTGACTCTAATTTTATGGACAAATTGTGAGAAGAAGGATGAATTCTGCCCTGGTGATGTCACATCTGGAATGTTGTGCCCAGTTCTGGGCCCCTCAGTTCAGGAAGGACAGGGAACTGCTTGAGAGAGCCCAGGGCAGAGCCACAGAGATGCTGGAGGGAGGGGAACATCTCCCTGCTGAGGAAAGGCTGAGGGAGCTGGGTCTGTTGGGCTTGGAGAAGAGGAGACTGAGGGGCCACCTCATCCCTGGTTCCAAACACGTTCAGGGCAGTGTCAGGAGGAGGGAGCCAGGCTTTGTGCAGTGATGTCCAGTGACAGGACAAGGGGCACTGGGTGCAAACTGGAGCCCAGGAGGTTCCATGTGAATCTCAGGAAGAACTTCTTTGCTGTGAGAGTGACAGAGCCCTGGGCCAGGCTGCCCAGAGAGGCTGTGGAGTCTCCTTCTCTGGAGACATTCCAACCCCCCTGGCCACGTTCCTGTGT